GGGTTATGGCATGGCTGGGGGCGTTATATGGCTATATGGTGTGGCTAGGAGGTATATTGCACTGCACCAGAGCCCTCCTCTGGTTGGGGCCTGGGGCTAAGGCACAAGCAGCAGCAGGAGTGTAGTTGTCCTTCTCCTCTGCTCAGCCTGACTTCTGTGCTTCGGTTTCACCCTCAGATATCATTGCCAAAGGGGAAATGGAGAAGCCATCCCCGTGCACCACCACCGGCCACGGGTATCACTGCACCCTCAACGGCACTGAGTGCAGGAGTGGGTGGCCAGGACCCAACAACGGCATCACCCATTTTGATAATTTTGGCTTCGCCATGCTGACCGTGTACCAGTGCATCACCATGGAGGGATGGACGGAAGTTCTCTACTGGGTAGGTGCAGGCCTGAGCCCGCTGGCTGCGAGGGAGGAGACGCCGGCACGCTCTTTGAACAGGAACATGGTACTAAGCGGGTTGGGCTGGCCAGGCTTCCCAAATAGTGGGAATCCTTCTGGGGCAGCGAGCCCCACAGACTGCAGCTACTGGATGATGTATCCACTGAGCAATGAGCTCCCAGGGAGAAGGTGGCACCCGCCAGTGCAGCAGAGTGTTTGAACCCTGCCTAGCCAAGAGAGTCCCTGTCCAAGTACCACTGAGACTCTCAAACGAACCCCACCCTTGCCTTAAAAGACAGGAGCCTGGTGGGAGCGAGTCCTCGGACGGCTCCTCAGCTCTGGAGCTCAGGTATAAGCGACCATAAACTTGCCCTCCAAGCCACGAAGAATGGTAGGGGAGGAAGGATGGTGTGACGGCTCAGGGACAGGCTGGGAATTGCAGAGCTGAGTTCCAGTCCCGCCTCTGCCTCTGGAAAGCGCTTGGTGTGTTACCCTTCTGGGCATCCTTTGTTCCCAGGAGTGTGGGCTGAGGGCAGCTTGAGACACAGGTTGCTGGGCCAGTGTCTGATATTGTATCTGGTGGCTTTTAATAATAACACCACCTAGCTCTTATACAGTGCTTTTCACCATTAGATCTTAAAGCATTTCACTGTCGTTAACCCCCCCTGCCCCACACACCGCCCCCCCCCGGGAGGCAGGCAGGACAGTGCTATTATCCCCATTGCACAGATGGGGAGCTGAGGCCCAGAGGCTAAGTGACTTGCTCAAGGTCACACGAGGAGTCTGTGGCAGAGTAGGGAGTTGGGTCTTCAAAGCCTTAAACTAGTGCCCTAACCACTGGGTTCCTGAGAGGAAGGCTGGTCAATGAGTAGGGACAAGTCTGAAACCTGGGAGACCCAGGTTCAATTCCCTGCTCTGCCACAGACTCCCATTGTGACCGTGGGCAAATCTGTTAGTCGTTCTGTCTCAGTCCCCCATGCGTAAAGACTGTGAGGTGCTCAGCTACTCCAGTAATGGGCTTACCTGAGCCCGGTGGATTTGGTTCTCCCCCTGGATCTTCATCTGCCTCTGTCCTGCTCAGGTGAACGACGCCATCGGGAACGAGTGGCCCTGGATCTATTTCGTCAGCCTCATTCTGCTGGGCTCTTTCTTCGTTCTCAACCTGGTGCTGGGCGTGCTCAGCGGGTAAGGCGTGTGGGCTGCATGGTGCCGCTCTCCTTTCTCTCTGTCCCAGCAGGGGTCTGCCCCGAGGGAGGGGCCGGGCCCTTATTGAATTTGGGGATATGAACAGAAAGTCTGAAGGGGGTTTTTAACCTTTTTCTTCCCTTTTCTTCTTCCCTTCTTCCTTGGTACCTTGGCTACCAAGGCTATCAAGCCTTGTCTTCCCTTTTCTCTTGGAGAGCTCTTTGGATGACTCAGGAATGTGGAGCAGGGGCGCTCTCAGCCCTTAATTGAAGGGACAGGATGGTGGAATTCTTAACACAGAGAGCTTTTCTCCCCAGCCTTAACAAAACCAGACAATGAACACATTGTAATTATTCAGTTGTATTGTGGTAGCACCTAGCAGCCCCCATCCTGGCCCAGGACCCCATGGTGCTAGGTGCTGTGCAAACACAGAACAAAAAGACAGTCCCTGCCCCAACAGCAGTTTTAAATAGTCCCTGTAAAATTCCCTTCCCTTCTCAGTTAACCAGGTGTCACTTCCTTGGTCCCTGCAGTGTCACAATCTTACTAGTCCTCGAGTCTTCCAGCGTAGCCAAGACATGAATTAAAGCAAACGGGTAAAATACCACTGAAAACAAACCCACCCGTCCTTTCCAGGCCTGCTTTAAAAAAGGCCAAAGCCCGATGTTTTTCCCCCTTGACAGATGGAAAAGTGGGCACAGCTGGCAATCTCTCTGCACCCTCCAGCTGTGTGAGCTTCCCCTTTAGCTCTGACACTCTGTTATGATTTCCTCAAGGCTTTCCAGTATCGGATACTCCTGTGTGCCTCAACAGCAGCAGTGGGGACAGCCATTAGTGCTTCTAATGTTAACCTGCCCTCTTTACAATCTAGCTGTAGTAGTTGGTTCTGTGGTGTCCTGTGGCAAGGAGTTCCACAGGATGATAAAAAAATGAGGAATAAGGAAGCATTTCCTGTTATTAGGTCTGTATTCCTCCCCCTCCCCCCCGCAATTTTGTATTATATATCAAAGGTAAAAGGCAGGACTGATCCATTCTCAGTCTTCAGTTGAGTTAAAGGAGTAATTCCACCAGCTGGCAGCAGTAGTAGGCTCTTGTCCTCTCTGGGGACTAGCCACTAGAATAGGACGTGGCACACACTTGATGAGTGTGTCCCATGAGCAAGGTCTGGATTGAAGCTGCCCGCAGAGCCCCCTCTCCATTGACCTCATGCCAACCGTCTGGGTTTGTTCCAGGGAGTTCACCAAGGAGCGTGAGAAGGCCAAGTCACGGGGCACGTTCCAGAAGCTGCGGGAGAAGCAGCAGCTGGAGGAGGATCTGAAGGGCTACATGGACTGGATCACCCATGCCGAAGTCATGGACAGCCACCGGGCCAGGGGAGAAGGTACCATCCTCACCTGGGCAAAGCCAGGCAGGACACGCCCAGGCCTGGCTTCCCTCTCGCTTCTGGAGAATGGTTAAATCCTCCACCGGGGGGGGGGAGCGGGGGTGTCTGTGGGATGAGCGGGGTGGGAGGCCGGGGGAAGGTGTGCACTTGCTTCTAGTTTACTCATTGAGGGAGGCTGCCCCTCCCTTGACATTATCCAGGTTCAAGGATTAGAAGCTGCTTCAGACCCGCCAGAGATGAAGAGTTTTTGGAGAGGAAAGACAGTCTTATGGCATAGGACAGGCCAAGGCCTTGGGAAGCCCGTAGGCTGTTCCTGGCTCTGCCACTGACTTACTGGGTAACCTCGGGCAAGTCACTTCACCAATCCGTGCCTCCGTTTCCCCATGTGTAGTGGGATGTACTAACACTTGCCCATTTTGGGCTGAAATTAGTCACATTTGCTAAGGGCTTTTGAGAACCTGAAGTGGAAGTTGCTATAGAAGAGAGTTATTGGCCCCCTTCCCCATTACCTCCCTGGGATGCTGTTATGTGCTTGGATATAATCCCTTGGCTCTTTGTTTACTCTGTGGGGCATTTTACACAGCTGTGGAGCTATATGTAATGATCACAATTCTGAATGCCATCGCTGGTCCCCTGCTCTCTATTGCCACCGGTTACACTCCCGTGGTGTCTAGTATCGCTCCATTTCTTCGCACATTACGATGCCAAAAAAACCCTCCCTCCCAAACTTGTTCTCTTGAGCGCGGACGTGTCTCTTGAGGAGGTTTGTGTCTCTTAGGGAGTTATTAGATGGGAACCCTTCCTTTGCAGATGTGCTTCTCAGGGTATACCTACACTGCAATCACTTTCATCTAGCCAGCTCGGTCACCAGAGTGGGTGAAGCCGCAATAGCCCCGTGAGTGATTATGCGCCGATTTCACCGCTCCAGTATCGGAGCTAGTGAGATTAAAGTTCGCTCGGGTGCATCTGCACAAGCTGCGATCACACCTCCGATTGCAGTGTGGACATACCCTTAGAGTTCCCCTTCCCTCCCCGGTGGGAATCCATTGCCGACGTCCCCATGTGTCTCTTGAGGGGGTCCCCAGCTCACTGAAGATCTCTCTCTTTCATAGGGATGCTGCCATCAGAGGAAGGGGGTTCAGAGACCGAGAGCCTTTATGAAATTGAGGGCATGAACAAATGGATTCTCTTCTTGTGAGTACACACACACACACACACACACAGTCTCTCTCTCTCCTGCCTGATCCTGACTCTCCTGCTCTTGGAATCAATCCTGTTGTAAGAGCCCCTATCGGAAGAGCTGGTAGTTTTGTTGGGGGCGGGGGGGATACACCATGTTCAGTGCAGCCCACGCAAAGGTGGATTTTGCTATGTCCGGCTCTGGAAAAAGGCTAGTTCAGGTGGTATCCCACCTCTTCTTTTGGGGGGCCATGCGTCAAACTCCTCTCCACTATCCCTCCTCCTACCCAGCACACCCCAGGGCTCTGGGAACTGCGTGAGTGGTGTCAGGAAATCCAAGGTCATTCCGACTGATGAACAGGTGAGGCCAGCGCACTCTTTAAGGGGCAGTGTCCTCTCCAGAGCATGCACAGGACCGGCCGCCATGCGGAAGGGAAGGCATCTCATGGATCCTGCGCTGGGCGAGCAGCCCGGACACCTGGGTTCTATTCCTTGGGCAAGTGCCTTAGTTTCACCATCTGTAAAATGGGGATAAATGAAGCACACTTCCCCAGGGCTTTGAAACAAGTTGTTCATTAACACACCAGCGTCTCCTTTGTTACCCTGGTGCATCCCCATTTGGCGTCGTGGTGATTGAGTGGGGACTTTGACCCCGTGCTGGTAATAGTTTGGGATGGAGGAAAGGTGGTAGAGAGGGGCAAAGCGGTATCCCTGCCTGCAGAACCACTCTCCTATGCATTTGCGTGGGTCCATAGGAGCTGGTGGGCAGGGCGCTTTGCAATGACTCTGCCCTCTGGGGCTGGGTGCTGGGGGGGCAGGGAGCCCTGAAGTCACCCCTCTTGGCCCATCTCTCTAGCCGGCAGTGGAGGCGATGGAACCGCCTGTTCCGCAGGAAGTGCCGCGAGGTGGTGAAGTCCAAGTTTTTCTATTGGCTGGTGATCCTGCTCATCTCGCTGAACACCCTGTCAATCGCCTCCGAGCATCACTGGCAGCCCGAGTGGCTGACCCATGTGCAAGGTGAGCAGGGCGGCCCGGGGCTGGGGAGCCGCTGCCGGTTCAGTGCATCCACGGGCGGGCGTGCGCACACGCCTGCCCACACGTGAACACCCACATAGACACCCACACACACCAACGCACATACGTGCATGCGCCTGCGCACCACACACACACGCAAAAGTGCACGCACACCCCCGTGCCTGTGTGCAAATGTAGTTTCCTCCCGGTCTTGTGTTTCCCCTCCTGCGCACAGACCCACCTCTTGCTGGGGTGGGGAAGGGAGCGTTCTGCTGCCGCTGCTCAGGGCTAGGAGCTGGGCAGGTAAGTGTGAGTCAGGCTCCTCTTCCTCCCTGCTGCGCTGCCCCAGGATCGTAGGCTGGGGGAGAGGGAGGCAGCAGGGGGTGTAGTGAGAGGGCGGAGGAGGATGTGGTCTCATGAGCAGCTTCTAGTGGCCATCGGGGGATCTGCTGCCTCAGTCCAGAGCGCTGACTGGCTGGGTTCGCTGCTTGCAGACAGCGCCAACCAGGTGCTGCTGGCGCTCTTTGCGGCCGAGATGCTGCTGAAGATGTACGTGCTGGGCCTGCGCCAGTACTTCATGTCCCTCTTCAAGCGCTTCGACTGCTTCGTGGTGTGCGTCGGCATCCTGGAGATTATCCTGGTGGAGATCAACGTCATGTCACCCCTGGGCATCTCCGTTCTGCGGTGCATTCGCCTGCTGAGGATCTTCAAGATAACCAGGTGGGGGCAGGGCCGGCTTTAGGCCAATTCCATCAATTCCCCCGAATTGGGCCCCGCGCCTAAGAGGGCCCCGCGCCCAGTGGCAGGGCTGCCGGGGTGGGGGCAAGTGGCCGAGAATCCCTTCCCTGGCTAGAGGCTCCTTTTTAATTTTTACTCACCCGGCGACGCTCCGGGTCTTCGGCGGCACTTCGGCGGCGGGTCCTTCACTCACTCCGGGTCTTCGGCAGCACTTCGGCAGCAGGTCCTTCAGTGCCGCCGAAGACCCGGAGCGAGTGAAGGACCCACCGCCGAAGACTAGGAGCGCCGCCCGGTGAGTACAAGCCCCACGTGTTTTTTTACATGTTTTTTTTTTTTTTTTAGTCATCCCTGCCGGGGCCCCGTCGAAACTGTTCGAATTGGGCCCTGCACTTCCTAAAGCCGGCCCTGGGTGGGGGCACCTCTCCCCAGGGCCTGGGGTCAGGCAGTACAGGCAGGGGGGCTTGCACTGGGAGGCTGGGCTGTCCTTACCCCTTCTGAGGCCTCAGGCATGACTACAACTATGAGCTGCCAGAAGCTGAGGAAGGGGAACTGGTGAGTTCTCTGGCCTCTGTGTGGCCAGGGTCAGGATACCTAGTGTCTGTTTACAACTCTGGGAGGGGAGTGGGGTCTAGTGGTTAGAGCAAGGGCTTAGGAGTCAGGACTCCTGGGTTCTATCCCAGCCACAGGAGGGGGGTGGGGTCTAGTGGTTAGAGCAGGGAGGCTGGGAGTCAGGACTCCTGGGTTCTGTTCCCAGCTCTGGGAGGGGAGTGGGGTCTAGTGGGTCAAAGCAGGGGGCGGGGAGCCAGGACTCCTGGGTTCTCTCCCTGGTTTGGGAGGGGAGGGGGGTCTAGTGGATCAGAGCAGGGGAAGTGGAGGGCTGGGACACAGAACTCTGGGGCTCTAATCTGATACTGACTCACCGCTATCAGCCCCCAGCTGATCAGGCTGTCCTGTGAGTGGTGGGGCAAACCACACTCTGAGGGTATGTCTACACTTACCCGGTAGTTCTGCGGCGAGCGATCGAACTTCTGGGTTCGACTTATCGCGTCTTGTCTGGACGCGATAAGTCGAACCAGGAAGTGCTCGCCGTCGACTGTGGTACTCCAGCTCGACGAGAGGAGTACCGCGGAGTCGACGGGGGAGCCTGCCTGCCGCGTGTGGACCGAGGTAAGTTCGAACTAAGGTACTTCGAACTTCAGCTACGTTATTCACATAGCTGAAGTTGCGTACCTTAGTTCGAATTAGGGGGTTAGTATAGACCTGGCCTAAGTAGTTACCTGCGGCCCTGCTGGAAGGAGGGCGTGGAGAGTGCAGGGTCTGAGCCCTCCTGCCACGAGACAAACCAGCAGCTCAGCCTGTCCTTTGGGACCCAGCGAGGCTCCTCCCAGCTACCCGGAGCAGGAGCAGGAACCTGCTCTGCCAGAGGGGTCCCGGAGACACAACAGAGCTGGGAGCTGAGAATGCCACAGGATTCATGAACCTCACTTCCCTAGGTTGGGATATTTGGTGGCAATAATGAAAATGGGGGGAAGCTGGGCATGGGGTTCACCTGGCTCCCCAGATCTATCTAGGTAGGTACTTATCTGCCCTCATCACCATAACATCAGAGCAACGGATTCCTCCTCACGCCCCCTGTGCGGCAGGGCAGCATCCTTATTCCTGTTTCATGCATGGGGAACAGAGGCACGGAGGGGCTAAGTGCCAGGCCCATGGTTGCACAAGACATCTGTGGCGAAGCCAGGAACTGAGTACTAGGATGTGTTTCCTAATGGAGAGCACACTTGAATGGGAATCAGGAGACCTGGCTTCTACTCCCAGCTCTGCCACTGGCCTGCTGGGGGACCTGGGGCAAGTCATGTCCCTGCCCAGTGCCTCAGTTTCCCCAATTGTGAGATGGGGACAAGGAATCTGGCCTCCTTTGCAAAGCACTTTGAGATCTGCTGATGAAAAACTCCACAGAAGAGCTAGGCATTATTCTTATCATCTCCTGTCTAACACCTGGTC